AATAAAAATAATACATTTTAAAGAAAAAAAGTTAAATAATAATAATGATTAAAAAAAACAATAAAGAGATTCAAGTGCAAATGCCTGTTTGAACAGCGCGTTCAGCAGGGATTCAAAGACAGACAGAATCAGAGCGTTTTTGAGTGGTAATGTTTATTGTAAATAGAGAAATCATGTGCATAAATTGTACATTTACAGAATAGAGATGCTTTCTGTCCATAAAGGCGCATTCACAAAGCGGGCGGCTCGACTGAAGGATGACTGCAGCTGGACTCCCTGCCAGGATGCCCATATGGGTCCCATATGGGTTTCTCCGCGGGTTCCACGGTGGCCCCACATGGGTTTGCCACAGCCCACATGGGCCCTACATGGTGGTGGGCCCACATGGGTTTGCCCATTTAGGGCCCGTTTAGGGCCCACCTCGGCTGTGGCCCTACATGGGCAAACCCATGTGGGGCCACCGTGGAACCCGCGGACAAACCCAAATGGGACCCATCTGGTCTGCCTTCCTTTTCCCCATATGGGACCCACCTAGGCATGCTGGCAGGACTGGTACCGGTACCGCACGGCTCCTTCTTTAAGTTTTGCTCAAAGCTCCGTGATGATCAGTCTGGGCAATCTAAGCTCTAAAAAACCTTCATCAACATTTCCCAGTAGATCAGGATAGTCTCTGATCTGCTGTGGAAGGACTCCTGAATCCTTCCACTGGCGATGTTCTCCATCAGATCCAAAGCGCTCCATAATTACGCTGCTCACCTTTATGCAGCTACTTATATACTATACAAATCTGTATCACCTTAAAAATAATCAAAGCTGTTTGGAGTTAATATGCTGATCAAACCCTGTTTTTTTTTTTGTTTTTTTTTTAGTGAGAATGAAATTACCCGCAGATGCATTTCATGCACTTTCGCGCACATATCAACATTACATCTTTATGAAACAAAAACTGAGGAAAATTATTATTTACATTCAAGTGAGGTTTTCACATACTTTTCTGTTTATTTTCTTTATTTTGTGTGCTTGTAGATTATTATCTGAGGATAACTGCTGTTCAGTTTCATCATTTACGTTTAAACAATAAAATATTAAAATCATAAAAAAAACATCGGTTTGATGGTTTCTGGTCTAAATAACTGAATGTAGTCAGACTTCAGTGTATTTAGGTGAGTTTCGACGCTTTGTAGTTTGATATCCACAGAAAAAGTTTGCGTGGCTGCACACTTTTTCACGCCAGGGAAAAAGTTTGCGTATATTTACGCAAAGTTCATTTGTATACTTTCCGACTTGTACGTAAAATATGGCGCAGCAAATCTTTTTATGCGTACATATGCTTTATACATAAGGCCCCAGATGACGTTCAGCCACTGAAAATAACTTTCCTCATTGGTTTTAAGAGCAGAGCAGAAAAAAGAGGTGCTTAAATGTTACAATTACGTCACTAAGACCCAAAGAAGAAAAAACTCTGAAAAATGCCATCATTATTTCCGGCTTTCAGCTTGTATTTTTAAAGCTGGACCGAGCCATTTTTAGCAACAGGTGAAAAATGCTTTACCAGAGAAATAACTATTTCTCTCTTTAGAAATAGTCATTTCAGCTAACGCCATCTAGTGTTAACTTTGTCGTATATGTCACTTCAAACCATCGCTGTTTTTCATCTTTATTAAGAATATAATAATTTGATAGTTTTGTGTTTTTATTGTCTGTCAGCAGAAAATCACCATAATTAAGAGAAAAAAAGGTTTTAAAACATCCGTCTTTGTCTGTTTAATCTATACAATAAGTTTCACAGATGGAACAATTACTGAAATAAAAGAACTTTTCAATAATATTCTAAGGCGAATCACGGCAACATCATCATTGGAGCATGGCATGAATGATCTTTGGCTGAAAATGATAAGGATGTGAAATGATCAAAATTTGATAAATATTGATATAATGAAAAAAAAATGCAGGGTTTAGCCGTTTTTGTTTTTTATTTTGTTTCCACAAAAGAATGAGACAAACAGTACCACTAATATTTTAGATCTATTTTCTGAGTATTAGATTGGAAACCTTGTGCTTATTCAAAATATTCTGCCCATACTTTCTCCATCCTACTTTTGCAAACTTTTTTTTTCTCCCCTCCAAAACCTAAAAGTAAAAATGTGCTTCTTGCAAAAATAAATTTCGAACTGTAAATATTCATAAAAAATTACAAGTTATGTATTATTTGTGGCTCTAAAGTTTTATTGAACTAAACGGAGCTCAAAAATGGCTCTTTGGAGTGTATGGCTGCAGACGCCTGCTGTAGACTGTACAGCCTAAATCTTTATATGCTTTAATTTTAACATTTAGATCAACAGAATAAGTCTGGCCAAGGTTCTGACTCATTTAAAGAATGAGTCAGTAGAACCTTGGGATGCTAGTGAATATGTTACATATTTATTACAAATTTTAAGGCATAAAATCAATCTATTTTTAATTATACTACAGGGTTAAATCACATAGAGGTCCTAATATGTAATATTTCACAAGATTAAGTAAAATTATATGTGAGATTTGACTTGAAATCAACAGATATAGTTTAGAGAAACCTCTAGCTGTGAATTAGAGCAATGAAAGATCAAGGATCAGCCCAGGTGGGATGTACAGTGGAAAAGTTTATTCTGAAGTGACTCAGTGAAAATAAATACAACTTTTCAGGGAGGCGGGAACTTCTGGCGGTCTGACCTCATCGTTTCTCCAGCACCTTTGGCATTGCTGGGCCAGTGATTATGGGACTGAATGAGGTGGCGGTGGGAAGGGAGGGATCTACCCTCACTTGGTGAGCGGTCACCCCTTCTCCCCCGTTCCTCACCCCATGTGGCGAGAGGCGACGCGCCCCGGGGGGAGAGCAGAGGCCGAGTGATGGGGTCTACAACGAAGAGGCGATGTCCTGAGAGAGCAGGTTTTGAGACGAAGTGGAAAGGAAAACAAAATAAACAATAAGATGGGTTTTCTTCAACATCCCTTGTACATAGTCCTTGTCTTTCCTTGGTTGGTCTTTGAAACAGCGTTGATGTCCTGAACGCTGTCGGGCGGTCTGTAGGCAAACTACAGCTTCTTCAGCACTCCTGCTGCCGGCCTCTTACACAGACATGATGTGCTTGACGAAAGCTAAAGGAGGAAGTTCAGATCATTAGCATCCTGTCACAATAAAACCAAACCTGGAAGACAGATGACTTACCCTCGTAGTGTATGCTGCCGTTCTCGTCTTCCTGCCCGACCATGAGGGAATCAATCTCAGTCTCATTCATCTTCTCTCCTGTGGAAACACAAGGATCCATGTCAGCGTCTACATTTCTACTGTGCTAAGCAAACTGTACGTGTCTAAATTTACCCAGAGTGGACAGCACGATGCGCAACTCAGCACCCATGACGGTTCCGTTGCCCTCCTTGTCAAAGACACGCAGACCCTCAACGTAGTCATCGTAGGATCCCTTGGGAAGGGCATCGACCTCCTTCAGCATGGGCAGGAAAGCGTCGAAGTTCAGCCTCTTGTTGGCCATGTCTGTTGGTTCACATTGCACTTGTCTTAGGGAGACACAAGACAACAGCTGCCACTTCTCTAGAAGACATCTGGCCTCTTACCTTCGGCGCTGGGGTTGCCAAGGATCTTGATAACGTCCTTGTTGGTGGGATTCTGGCCCAGAGCGCGCATGATGTCGGCCACCTGGTTGTAGGCCACCTGGCTGTCACCAATTCTGTCAAAGAGACCAAAAGCCTCCTTGAAGTCTGGGGAAAGGCAAGAAAAACCTTTGAGTTAAACGTTTCAGACTTGTCGTTGGGTTTTCTATGACTACAACATTCTTGTAGATGACAGCTGTGTGAAACCAGCCTGGATTGAGAGATTAAAGACTCTGAGCTGCATGCTTTCACCATTGTTTGCAGCTAATTGGACGCGACAGCTGTATCTAAGCAGAGAAGAGAAAACTGGGGGCCAAATGAAGCTTTGTCATCTCTACCAAGCCCATCAGGAACTCAAAGTGACCTTTTTGAGAGATTTATCTAGTGGCAACAGCTGTAACTCCCCATCCCGACCCCTCCTCATTCCTGCTTGCTGCTTGGAGCAAACTGATACACCCTGACAGAGACACCAAGGCCATATAGAGACTTGGGTTGAGAATGCTGACTGAGGCATTACAAACGCCTCCTTGGTACAGGATTAAAACACCCTGGACGCTGAACAAAGCCTGCCTGGACACATCTTTCAACAGGGGACCACAAAGACAGGATCTTGACCTTTGACTTGGGGATTAACAAGTATAAGACACTGCTAGGTCATCTTAGATAACCAAAGACAGGACGGTGGAATCTTCTACAGCTGACTCTGCCACTCGTTGGGGCGGTAATGTGAAAATCTCAATGAAATGACCAGATAACAGGAAGGTACTTTGAAGCTAAGGAGATCTTCTGGACTTACCCTCAATCTGGTCCGGTGTGAACTCCGTCTGTCGTATAAAAACACACAAAAACAAACATATGAGAAACAAAATAAAGCAATTTCATTCCAAATAAAGCTAAAGGTGATGGATTTCCTGACTGAATCTTCTTAAATCCCTGATAACCATCTTAATTTTTTCATTCTTTTACAAACTTTTGAGAGAGTAAATCCAGACCAAGAAACTCCATCGCCTCCCTATTGAAAACGGCCAGAATCACCAACACACCATTTTGAAGAGTAGGAGCACGGAGGAGCGGAAAGGAAGGAGAAGAGAAGCTGAAGTCCCGAGACAGAGTGGTCCTGAGCCATGGTCAAAGCCCCCTTATTTATGTTCGGCATGTGATGTCACGCAGCTCCTGGTGAGGGAGGGATCGGATGACACGTTGGGACATCTTTAACTTTCTTAGGGAAAGCAGAGCCGTCTCCCCTCAGAGCCTTTAGAAGGGGAAGGGCTATTTTTAGATCCTGATTTTTAGATCCTGATATTGGCTTTATGATTATCTATTTATTGGGAAAGGGTTAAATGATGAAACTTCTGGTTGGAGGAGATGTTTCTGGAAGACGCTCGATGCAGGGAGGAGGCAACAGACTCAGCGGCTGTCTCCAGACGGGTCGCTGACCCGTTCAGCTTGGTTACTAGGTGGTATTTTTAAATCAGACAGAACTCTCCTCCTCATATGGTGAAATGACGGCAGGGGGAAAAGCTGCCGAAACGTTGGCTGCTCTCCGGCAGGTATGGAGCTACTGAACCTGGCAGCTAGACTGGAGCCAAACTGGAGCTAAACTGTAGGATCCTCTGTGTAGCCGCAGAGTAAAACCCAACAGTCATCCAGAGAATAACATGTTTTCATTAGGTTTTAAAAAACAGCCAGAGATCCTGATGTCCAGAGGGAACATTAATGTTCTACAACACTGAAATGACCTTTGACCTTCCCATTCCTAATTGAGGTCTGCGGGAGAACAATAATTTACCATACTTGCACTCAGAGATACTAATCATTGCTTTTCAAATCTTGTTAAGATTCTCACCTGGACTTTGACTAGGCCAAGTCAACCTTTACAATTCTAAAACCTAGATATTTTTCCTCAGTCTGGCTTATTCACATTTGTTCACATTACATGAATGTTAAATGACCCTTAAAACAAAAAGACAACCAGTTTTTTGGTTCTTTTAAGATCAACCACAGCTTAATGCTGCTGCCTCTGTGTGTTGGTTTGTTGCAAACGTCAAAAGATTTCTAGAGTGAAATAAGTTCCTCCCACCTGGGCTGTTGGTTTCTGCAGCTCCTCCAGAGATACCAGGAGACTCCCCTGTGGTTAACCCCTTCAGGAGGACAGCCAGGATTTGTCTCAGGGTATTTGGAGATTATGTTCTTTAACTTGCATCTAAAAATGCAGGAAAAATAGTTTCCTAGGAAACCCCAAACTACTCTGAACCTCATCTGAGCTACTGACATGTTGATCACTCGTCAGTTCTATGAAAAAGTTTAGATTTTATGAGAAAGTCTGACTGAATGGAGATCCTAACATCCTGTTGACTGAGAGGACTCAATATTCTCCATGTTTTCTGTGGCTTTTCCCAAAACAGCATGAGGCTTTGTGTTTTAATATCTAATCTCTGTGATAATAGTTGATTTTTTTTGGTGGGAATTTAAGAATAAGAATAATAAAATAAATTTATTGGAAACCTGGATCTGATCTACAACTAAATGTTTGATGGACAATCAGTGATCATACTTATCCACACAGAAAAATCCTTATTTTCAGTTACTAAAAACATGTCACTGTAAAGCAGAATCTGCATGAATATTTAAGCAAACAGCTGATTTCACTGGAATTAACGATGTAAACTTTATTGATTCTTTCAACCACATGGAATCAGACACATTTCATCTCAGTTCATATTTACAAATATTTCCTGACACTGTAACGAAGCGGCTGGCGTCCAGCAGGAAGACGAATGTTGGAGGACATTGGTAGGAGCAGCAGGCGCGTCCTAAGGGCCACAGATGAGCTCTATTTTTACCTGCAGTCCTGCAGGACGTGTTGGGTTTCTACAGCCTCTGCTGCAGTAACTGCATTTCTGCTGCACGGCGGAACCACAAAACAGACGGGTTCCTGGAGAACAAACTCAACTTTTTGAAACAAATATCCAATCAAAGTGGATTAAAAAGCTCCCAGGTTATTTGAATCATATTTAATTTTCCCTTTATGAGCTTTAATATTAAATCTGACACATTGCTGTGTTTGTTTTCTGGTTTATTAAACCGATCTGGCTGTGAAATAGACCTCTAATGTTGGGACCAGGTGTCAACTTTAACACGTTCCCCCTATAGACTCTCTGCTGCCACCTGGTGGACTCTCCTCGCTAATACTGCAACGACAGGAAACTTTGCTGCTATATAAGTAGAGCCTTTAAAGTGTTATTACAATTTGGTAAAACAAAAATATACAGCTCATATTTTAAAATCCAGACTTTAGAACATTTGGAAACTAAATTCTTTCCTTTTTGCCTTCTGGTAACTGAAAAACAAGAATGGTCTGCGTAGCGCCACATTGTGCTGCGGGACAAAAGACGATGTGTCTCTGCATGCGTACGACAGCAGGCCTTGTTTCTGCACAGGAGTGGGGGGGTTAGACCTCAAAAGCTGGAAACCTGGCCTTCATTGGCTGCAGAATGTCTGCCAGGAAATAGATGGTGCCCGCCATGCCTGCAACGAGAAGGGAACATGTTCTAATTCTAAGACCAAAAATCAAACAGAAGACGGACAGGAAAAAATCCAACTCCTATGAAAATGTGGTGGAAATGCTTAACCTGAATGTTTTGCAGTGGACTTCAAATGCCTCTGTAATTTTCACCAAAAAGACTTGCAAGAAATGTAAGAAAGAAAGGAGCAGAAGATGGCAAAAACCTGCAAAACTCCTATAGAGTTCATTGAAAATGTCACTGAATTCAAAAATCTCACACATAAAGTATTAGAAATGGTTCAAAACAATGTTTACAAAGTTAAACTGTACAGTCACAGCAGCTTATGAGCTACAATTGGTAAAAAGCTAAGGCTAGCTGAAATACTAATAATAGAATCTAGACCAGCACTAACATATGGACCTACAGTAACATTCTATGCACCATTCACACTAATTTTTTGCGGTTCGTACCTTCGAACAGAGAGAAGGGGGTGTCTGGTGTCCGGCAGCCATGGTGACCGTAGTTCATGCACCAATCTGCAAACTGCAGACACATTTCAATCAGAGGGCTGAGAGTGGCCACTGTGAGCCTGACTGCTGCAGCTGCTTTGAACCAAACTTAATGTCCACGTCAAAGTCAGAGCAGAAGAAGTGGACATGGTGTGCTCACCATGCAGGCCCTGTAGAGGTGTTTGGGGTCCTGCGTCAGCCGGTAGAGGCCCAGGAAGGTGTAGGCGTTGCCGGCGGCGCCGTGGCACAGGCCGTAGCCTTTCTTCAGCAGCCCCCAGCGCCACACCACCTCCCCGCACTGCAGCGCCTCCTCCAGGTACCGTGGGTTCCCCAGCACCTGCAGCAGTAGAACACCACCACTAGAGGGCACGTGCAGCAACAGAACACCACTACTAGAGGGCGCATGCAGGGTGAACTGACCTTGTAGGCCTGCAGCAGCATATAGACTACCCCGGGGGCGCCGTGGCACCAGTGCACCAGTTGGTCCCGGTCGTCCCCGATGCAGGGTGGGTAGTTCCCAGACGGGAAGCGCAGGCGGCAGACGTGCTCCACGCTGGGCTGCACCAGCTGCAGGACCTGCTCCTCTGTCGAGACGAAGCCCGGCTGGACCAGAACACATCGTAAGAACCACAGCAGCGGTGACAGCATCATGGTGAGGGCCTGGACCTGTGTCCCACCTGCAGGAGGAAGTAGTAGATGCCGGCGAGGCCGTGGGCGGCACCCACGTACTGCTCCTGGTACCACTCGTACATTAGCGGGCTCTGGTTCTGGAGGCGGAGTTTCCTGCTGAGCTGCTGGCCCGACACCAGAACTGCCTCGCTGACCTGCTGGATGCAGTGCAGCGGGACCCGGTCTGGACCCAGCTGCTGGTTCAAGAACACCAGGGAGGAGAGGAAGCCCACCCGGCCGTACAGCAGCTCGTCCGGCAGCCCACCGGACCTGTTCAGAACCGCCTGCTGGTACCGCAGCAGCCTGGAGGCAGAGCAGCAGAACCACAGTAGTCAGACCACAGCCTGCGGTCCAGATCTGGGTCCAGTCCTGGTTCCAGCCAGTCCCAACCTGCTGATGCAGTCCTCGGCCTCTTGCGCCCTCTGCAGGCGTGAATAGACTACAGCAGCTACGGCCAGCGGCCCAGTGTCTCCGCACAGGAAGGTGACATCATGGCGACGGGTGAGGTGCTTCAGGCTGCGGGTGACGTAGTCCAGCGCCCTCTGCAAGAAGGAGGCTTCTTTGAAGACGCTGTGGAGGTGCAGGTAGAGCAGAGCGATGCCTGCAGGGAAACAGACAGCAAACAACACTAGCCTCTGCTAGCTCATCTGAAGGTACAGCTGGGATAGTCCAGACATGCTGGACAGAAACATGACTGTTTCTGTAACATTTTCTGATTAGCTTACTGCAGGGGAAACAATAATAATAAAATGATCACAGCATGATGCTGCCACTAGTAATGAAATAGTCCCACAGCATTATGCTGATACTACCATGCTGGACAGTTGCAGAACCGATCACAATGCGCTGCGTTTCCTATATTCTTGGAGCTTCTGTCATCACCAGTGTCACTGATGGCTCCGCCCCTCACCTGCCCAGCCTGTGTAAGCGGTACAGTCTCTGGGATCAGCAGACTTCAGTCCATTCTCCATGACAGCCAGCAGCTCGCTGACCTTGCTGCTCAGCCTCTGGGCAAACGCCGGAGTGAGCTGGAGGAGAAAAGAAAGATTTAAACAACGATCAGCAAACCAAAGCTCGCATGTATCCCCCGCATCCCTCTGCGGTTTACCTTTCCCTCAGAGTCAAACAGTGTTTGAGTGGAAGCTGGGTTCCCATCATAGTCATGATAAGGATTCTTCAAAGCTCGTGTGTCCATTTTCACTATCGGTATAACAGCCGGAAGCTTTTATATCTACATCGAACAAAGAAGAATAAAAAATGAACACGGTGTCTTAAATACTCAACATAAAGCCACAGAAACACCACCTGGTTTCTGAGCAGAGCTACACGCCCACACCATCCATGCTAGCGAAGCTGCTACTACTTAGCTTAGCCACGGAGCTAATGCTAACCGTTAGCGTCAAGCGGCGCAGGAAATACTGTAAGACTGTAATAAAATGAGCCAATACTCTGATATTAAATGTAAATAAAAAGAAAGTATAGAATTTATTCACATAAGAAGCCACCCCGCTGCAGTGTTGCTCTGTGTTGTGATGTAGCTTCTGAGATGCTAACTCGCTACTGCCAACTACTGCAGAAGAAGAAGTACTGCAGTTAAATCTGACTACAACAAACCATCAAAACACGGGTCATGCGGTGCCCAGACAGAGGTGGGTAGAGAACCCAAAAATTGTACTTAAGTACGAGTAGCACCACTTCAACATATTTTTACTCAAGTAAAAAAAAAAAAGTTGCTATCCAGGAAGTTACTCAAGTAAGAGTAAAAAAAGCATACAGTCCAAAAATACAAAGTTAAGTGGAAATTTTGGTATTTTAAGAACCAAAATGACAATAATTCATATAAGTAACAAAAATAACAACATTATACAAAAGATTTCCAAATCAGTTTCTTTCAAAATAAAACTTATAAAACTAACAAACACTTCAAGTGTAGAAGAGTCTGACAAAGTAATGGATTTACTTGTGATACAAGAAAATTAAGCTAAATGCTTTAATTCCATGTTCACTTTCTCTTATAGTTATTTATTGGAATCATATAATTACATTTATGCTGAACTTCCAATAATAAACTATGTTGGAACACAGATAAACACATAGAAATGACATGATGAAGACCCTACCAGGCTGGTTTACTGGCAGATGACAAGTTCTGTTGCCATGGAGATTCAGGGCTGCTGCTGATTGGTGACAAGTTACAGTCTGGAAAACCCTGGAATTTAATAGCAGCATTTTCCAGGTTTGGAATGAGAAAGATATAAAGGTTGGAACGAAGAACAGCGATGCAGACTTTGCTTATTTTCTGATATCAACACCTTAACCAGGCCTTGGACTGTCTGTGACTTCTTAATCCGGAACCGTTTGTTGTGCTTCAATGCCTCCCAGTCTTGATGACTCGGGCGACCTTGCCTTTCAAAATTGCAAATGAAGCCGACAATTAGATGGTTCCATCATCATCATCATCATCATCATCATCATCATCATCGCCTTGTGTTTTCCTGTTTACCTGTCTGCCGCTTTATGTCTGCGTTGGCGCCATTATTTCCACATCAGCTGTCCGGGGTGGAGGGTTGAAGGTCGGACTTGGACTGCAGCGTGTTTCCTTCAGGGAAGGGATGGAAATGAGGCTGAAAGAGCAGGAAGATTCAGAGGAAGACCTTCGCTTTGATTAGAGAGCGGCTCCCCTCCCTCTCCGCCTCTGGAGGAGGAAAAATGTTTGATCCATTTATTGATCAGCCATTATTTTTCAACAGAGAGGAGCAAACCTGACTTTACAACATAAAGATGTTGATGTTTCACGATTTTTTTCCCACAGTCAGTCATTTCTATAAAAACTGTCCCCACAAAGGTTTTGAGGCACACACAGTTAAAACTCATTCATTTTCAAAGATGAAAAAGCTGTGCTTTTTTTCTTTTTAATCACAAATTCATATTTCTCATCTTCAAATTAATATTAATACATACCCAGATAGCACAGAATGATTGAAACAACATTGAATCAATGTCAGCCAGAAACATTGAATCAACGTTGAA